CTTATTTTTTGAGAAAGGATTTCCCATTAAGGCCTGTTGCTTTCCAGTTAAGCCTGACTGGCTGGCCTGTGAGCTCTGGTGGCCTTCCTGACTCTGCTTTCCAGCACAGGGGTTACAGGCCCAGGCCTGCCGTGCCTGGCTCCTTATGTCAGCGCAGGCACTGAAGACTCAGACTGCTCCCACTCAGCAAGCACTTTTCTGACTGAGCCATGTCCCCATGTCTTTTCTAACATCTTGCTAAAACTGATCACAGATGGTACAAAGGTTACTTGACAGACAGGCTGTCCCTAAATGCCAAATTCATAAACTTTACTATGCACAAATGACAATGAAAAAGTTTTTCAAGTTGATCAGAAGTGAATCTTTTCTTTGTTGTAACTTGCAACTTTAAATTTTATTTTTGAAAAAATGTTTAATCATTTTATGTAAGTGTGTGTGCCATAGCATAAGTGAAGGGTGGAGGACAACTTGTGGGAATTGGTTCTGTCCTTCCACCACATGGAACTTGGAGACTGAACTCAAACCATCAGGTTTAGTGGCAAGCACCTTTATCTATGGAACCCTCTTGTCAGACCTAAGTTTTTTACTTTTTATTTATTGTTTTGTTTTGAGATAGGGTCTTACTATGTAGCCCTGGCTGTTCTGGAACTAACTATGTAAACCAGGTTGGGCTAAACTCACAGAGATCAGCCTGCCTCTGCCTCCCTAGTGCTGAGATTAAAGGCGTGCCCCACAATGCCTGGCTAATTTTTTTTTTTTAAAAATAATACTGGAAAGACAGTTTAATGTAAGTAGACAAAACCTATAAATGTTCTCAGAAGAAGAACTACAAATAATTTAAGACAGTGTATTTATGTGTTCTTGCTGATAAAAACAGTTAGTGATTTATTATTGCTTACTAGGTTTGCAAAAATTAAAAAGATCAATGATAAATATTTCACGTACATGAGGATGTGGGGAATCAACAGTCTCACGAAGTGCTGGAGGCAGCATGAACTGAGCAGGGATGAGGGAGGATGAGTGGGCAGTATCTACCAGTGTTTCCACATGCATGTTCTTAATTTGGCAGTTACATTTCAGAAATCTAGCCTTCAGGAATATTGGTGTGCATAGAGAAGGCTATTCACTGTAGCTCTGTTTATAAAAGGAAAATTAGGAATCACATCAATGGGTCCTCATGGGGCGGGGCTGGCAGACACCTAGACACCCACTTCGAGTGGAGAGTGTGAGGCCCCAGGTTGAGCTCCAGAACCATAGGTAGGAAAACATGCTGATTTCTCTCCTGGAGTGAATGGGGCCTCTGCCCTGAGGCCCTTCCCTCCAACCCCAGCCCTCATCATCCTGTGCTTTCTTCTAATACCTATGGGGGTGGTCAACTTTGCCCAGAAGTAGTTATCCAAGTGTCCCAAAGGCCACATTCCCTTTCCTCTGTGTGTATACCACCATGCTTTGCAATGGGGGCCTTCCCTGACCACGTCCACAGGTGGGGAACACGATCCCTCCCTGTTCCTGAGGTATTTTTATGTCACTTCCCAGGTGATTTGCTCTCCATACCCTTGTCATCATTTAATGCATACTCTGTATCCTTGTTTATGGGAGAGAAAGCTGCTTCTTTCTCCCAACACTATAAACTTCAAGGGGGCTGAGACTTCTGCTAGTCTGTCTTCTTCACTGGATTCTCAACAGCTACAATGGTACCTGGCACACAGCAGGAGCTTTGTACTAGTCTACATCTGATATGCATGGTATTGGGCACACAGTAAGAGCTTTTTACTAGTCTCCTTCATGGCTGGAGCCTCAGCATTTACAATAAGACCTGGTACAAAGTAGGAGCTTAATAAATATTCACTGATGAATAAATAACATTTTATATGCTTAAAAGCATATAAAAACAGCAAATTTCAACAGTGTTGGGCAGTGGGATTGGAGAGCACGCTCAGTATTATACATTTCTGTACCGTTTGAAGTATACACCACATTTATAATTAAAAAGAGAAGCATAATGTTTTCCATCCTCCTTGCAGATCATTCAAAACACCTTCCTGGGGCTTTGCTACAGTTTGGAGGATACATGTGTTGAAATTTAATCCTTATTAAGTATTAAAAAGGTAAAAAAAAAAAAAATTCAAGCTAAGGTCTTTAGAGGTAGGGCTTTGGGAAGAAATTTTTAGAATTATATAAATTCATGAGAATGGGACCCATGCGACAGAATGCTGGTGGCTTAATAAGAATAGAGAGAGCTCTGGGTGTGGTGGCACACCCCTTTAATCCCAGCACTTGGAAGGCAGAGGCAGGCAGATCTCTGTGAGGCCAACCTGGACTAGAGAGCAAGTTCCAGGAGAGCCAAGGCTACGAAGAGAAACCCTGTCTTGAAAAAAACAAAACACACACACACACAAAAAAAAAAAACACAAAGAAACAAACAAACAAAAGAATAGAGAGAAGAATATCAACTACTCAGGAGGCTGAGGCAGGAGGATCAGTTAAATCCATGAATTCAAGGAGCCAGGACCACACAGCAAGACACAAATAGAGCAAAACAGAAAAGATAAAAGGGAGGAGGGTGGATCAAGAGCCACATGTGTGCCCTCGTCTTCTGCCCTCTAAGGCCATGGGCCTCCTTGAGACTATGACCAAAAGAAGGCCATCATGAGATTCAGCCCTTTTACATCTGATATGCAGAATCACAAGCCAAGATAACCCTCTTTCTTTGTAAAAATGCCCAACCTCCAGTGTTTCATTATAGTAACAAGAACAATAATAAACAGAAGCTGAAAATATTGTTTACAAAGAACCAAGGACCATCCTAGGCTTGTCTGTATTGTATGCCAACTAGAGTTCAGAAATATCAGTAAGTCTGAGCAACTTTCAAGAGTCCTCTCCTTCAGCCCTGTGGATCCTAGGGATCAATCTCAGGTCATCAGTCTTGGCTACAAGTGCCTTTATCTGCTGAACCTTCTCACAGCCTCTCAAGTCCTTTCTAATTAGTATACCTGACCCTTCTTTGTATCCACTTCCTCCCTCACTAACAATCCCTGTGCTGTGTTCCCATAGGAAAGTCTTCAACATTGTGCCTGACTTGGTCCATGTTGGGAACCGAATTCATCTGGTTTAGAGGAAGCTCTTGGGAAAAGAAAACTCTTTAAGAAAAATCCCAACCAAATTTAGCTGATAGGCATGTCAGGGACGCATACAACTCTGTTGGGTGTTCTCCCATAGGCTTGTGGCCAAAAGGCCTGAGTTAGTAAGACCTGCTCCTCTTCCTGGGCCTTTGCTCCCTGCAGCACGCCTGTGCTAGCACTGTTAACAAGATCCCTGAAGGCCCACAGGTCTTGATGTTAGTTTTCCTGAATTCTTCACTGTCCCTGATGAACCCACCAGCCCTTACCCCAACAGGCCTGGAAAGGGAGGGGCTGCAATTCAGCTCCCAGAGACCAGAAAGAGGGCCTGCCTGCCTGCTCGCCTGAGAAACATTGCACTCACCCTAGAAAGCAGGGCAGCAACAGCCAGCTCTGTCACTAATTTGGTATGGAGACTGGTGCTCTGAGGATTCCAAATGAGAAGCCAGCCAGCTAGGTTTATTGCCCTCTTTTCTTTTTAAGAAAATCAGCTGGAATAAGAGTCAAGACTATCTGGGAACTGGCCCCTCATGGCTGGATGTTCTGTAAGCGTTGGCAAAGCACCAGATTGGTGTGGTGGCTCTTGCTGAACGTTCTCCAGAATGAAGCTAGCTTCAGTCGTGCCCATGCACACCAACTCCCTACCCCTTTTCCCAAGCTCCAGTGCTCGGGCCTGAAAGTCTACTGACCCTTCAGAACAGACGCCTGCTACTTCTCGGAACGTCACCTTACACAGGAGTGAAAATATTACTACTGCTACTGCTGTTGTTGTTGTTTGGGGGCATGCACGAGGTATATATGGGTTGTATATGTGCGTGTGTACATGCACATGTCTGTGCATACATGTAGAGGTCAGAAAACAACCTAGACTGTTGTTCCTCAGATAACTTTTTTCCAAGACAGGCTCTTCCACTAGGGCCTGGGGCTCTGCAGTTAGGCAAGGCTGGCTGGCCAGAAAACTCCAGTGAGCTTCCATCCCTGCCTCACAGCACTGGGGTACACACGTGCGCTCCCACACCTGGCTTTGTATATGAGTGGCATGGATCAAAGGCAGGTCCTTATGTTTCACAGGGCAATGCTTTACTGCCCTGTGATATCTTACTGCCAGTAGTAAGACTCTAGGCAACTGAACACAGACAGCTACATTCATTCTGTTGCCTCTAGGGGATGCTGACCCTAGCCCTGTAAGACTATCGCTAGGATAAATGTTACATTCCTAACAGATAAGAACCAAAGCAATCGCACTTATCACTGTAAAGAGGGAACTAAGTTCCCTCTGTGAGGCTTTTCAGGCAGTGTCTCTAGAACTGCACAGAGCAAATCTCACCTCTGGCCACCCGAGAGCCTCTGGCTGGATTTGGAGCCAATTATTTGCTCTGAAACATACACACATCCACAGACCAACAACACATCAGGGAGCCATCTCTCCTTAGAGCCTCGGCCTAAAGCTCAGGCATCTCCAAGACACCTCTGCAGCCTCTGGTGTTGCCTTTGCACAAAACTAAGGGCAGGAATGAGTCCATTCATTACTACCAGGGGCCAAGCCAAAAAGTAGTGTAAAGACTCAGGGTGCCTTGCATCCTGCCCTAGCCAGGCAGCATTGCCAACCCTGCATTTGCTTTTCTGTCCTTCAGTTTCACAAACACTGCCTACCACAGGCAGCAAACATGTCAGGTATGAGGAAGGACAAGGTAGTTACACCTCAGCTCCTGGGGAGCCCCAGGGTGGTGAATATACAGCAGCTACAGGTGAAGAAAAGCATCCAGAGTATTCTCTGGAGTGAGCCCAGCCAAAGAAGCATGGTCCAGGCCTGTCACTGGCTCCCTTGTGTAGGTGTCTGGCTGGGCAGATCTGTCATTAATCACACTTTGGGCTACTCACCACACTGGCTTTCTTCATGGCCCTGGCCCACTCCACAGGTCTCCTCCTGCTGTTCCGGCACTCTGGGGGACTTGTTAACCACGTTGAGGTCCATGCCTGGGAGCTGCAGGTGCAGCTGCTCCCGGAGGGCAGCCTTCTTGAGGGTGCGGATGGCCTTCCGCAGCCGCTTCTCTGTCCGCTTTACCATGCAGCTCAGATTGCAGGAAGCTGCAGGAACAGGGTGGGGTGAGGGGACAGCAGCATGAGAGGAGCCCTCAGGCTGCAGTGAGGATGTCCAGTGACCCGCCAACACCCCAAATTCCATGGAGCTGGGAACCTAGCAGCCTGGGCAGCATTCAATCCAAACACAAATTTGTGCGACCCAAATGGCAACTTTGGGTTTTATGAAGGGGGGGGCTCCATCAGGTTCTAAACCAATTTAGTGTAATTTGTAGGGTGAAAATCAAACAGGAGATACTTGAGTGTTTATGCTAGTTTCTGTCCTCCTCCCCCAGAATGATGGAAAATGAAAGGCAAAGAGAAAAGGAACGAGCCGAGAAGCCTGGCACCACAAATGGCTTTCAGACCAACCTGTCACCTCCTTTTTGTAAGTTTCCCGTTCAAACTCAACCGTGATAAATATTTCCTTAGGGGTGCTCGGTCGGCCAAGGGCTCCTGGGACTCGCTTGACAGAGCTGCACGTAAGGTTTGCGTACTGGAAGCTCTCTTTTACTGAGCTGTGCCTCTCTGTATGAAGAAACAAAATGATCGGGAGCCAAGTCCTGGCAGAGCACAGAGCTGAGCATTCACGAGAGCTCAGTAAACATTTCATTACGACCCTCCAAGGACTGAGGGATTCACTCCACGTGCCAAGCCATTGCCAGCCCTAAGCCTGAAGCTGGGACATCTTCATTCCTATGTAGCGTTCCAGCCTAGCTCTTTAACACTCTTCACGGGTAAAGGCGGACTGTCTCTCACTGACCAGCCACATATGCAGAGGATGAGAACCAGGGGTTAAGGGCTGTTTGTACTTTATTTGTATGACAGTTAGTGAAGTTGGTGGGTGTTCTCACGGTGGCTTTTCCCAAAGCTGGACTGGATAACCTGAGCAGATGCCAAAGCTTCAAACGGAATGAAAGGAAACCAACCCCTGCTCTCATCCAACCAACCTTGGTGCAACTCCACCCCACAGGGAGCAACAGAACAGACATCAGCAGTGATGCCTCGTTTTAAACAGCCTCCAACAGTAAACGGCACAGAGGTTCAACAGAAGCAAACAGTGTCATGAAGCCGTCTGTGGCAATGGTGGGGTGTGGCAATGATGTACCTTGCACATCCCTATTCTTGACTTTCTGGTGTCCCCTCTGCCCAGTGCTTCTGGTGAATCTCTTGACTCTCAGTAGATAAAACTGAACTGAACTAAACGACAAAGCAGGACAGTGTGTCCACAAAATCTATTCACTTGTCTTTCTAGAACTTTTTTACTGAACTAAAGTCATCTGTTCCATAATCTTCAATTACAAAGCAACAGACAATAAGGGCCAAAGGAAGAGACAAATTCAATTTTCTGCATATGTGTTTTCCCCCAAACATACATTTTATAGTTTTAAAAAACATTTATTTTTATTTTTTTATATATGCGTATGTGTGCCATATATGGGCAGGTGCCTAAGGAGGCCAAAAGATGATGTCAGATGTCCTGGAGCTAGAGATACAGGCAACTGTCAGTGCTGGGTGCTGGGTGCTGGGAACTGAACCCATGCCCTCTAGAAGACACAGTGCTCTTAATCTGAGCCACCTTTTTCAGCCCTGTTTTACATTTTTAAAAGAGCTAATCTTAGAGCGTAAGTAGGCATTAAATTTGAACTTGTTTTCCTTTCAACTTTTCCATATCTATGTGAAAACCATTTTTATGTTATGTACGTTGTATGTACATATATGTGTAAGGTTACACATTTGCCATGGCTCACGTGTGCCATGGGTAGGGGGTGCATGTGGAGGTCAGAAGACAACTTGCAGGAGTTAGTTCTCTCTTCTATAGGTTTGGGTCCTGAGGATCAAACTCAGGCCGTCAGGCATGGCAGAAGTCACCTTTACCTGCTGAGCCAGCCCATTGGCCCTAAAACTATTTTTATCTGTTTATTTTGTTTTCATACAAAGTTCACTCTGTGGTCCAGGCTGGCCTGGAATTCACTGTGTACTCAGAGCCCACATTAAACTCACACCAATCTCTCCCCTTGGGCCCCTGGGTGCTGGAATTACAGACGTGAGTCATCATATTTAGCTTAAAGCTCTGTATTTTGAAGTTTGGATTTACTGAAAAGTGCAGACTTCTTACATGCCCTCCTTTGAGCTCCCCCTACTGTTAACATCTTACTTCAGACCAAATCTGTCTTTAAATAATACTTTGCTGGGCTGGAGAGATGGCTCAGTGGTGAAGAGCCCACATTGTTCGTGCAGAGAGGACCAGACTTTGATTCTCAGCACCCACATCAGTTGGCTCTCAAGCTCTGCAACTCCAGCTCCAGACTCATGCACATACCACATACATACCCACACAGGTACACATGACTGACAGTAAAAATCAATCTTTAAAAACAAGTGATGCTTGGGGCTGGAGAGATGACTCCATCAGTAGTTAAAAGCACTGGCTATTCTTTTAGAAGACCTAGGTTTGATTCCCACACCCACAGTGTGGCTCAGAACTGTCTGTAAGTCCAGCTCCAAGATATCAGACACTCTCTTCTGGCTTCCTTGGGCACCAGGCACATGTGTGTGCGCAGATAAACAGCAGTCAAAACACCTATACACATAAAAACTAAAAAAAAATAATAAGTACTTTCCTAATTTAAAAGTACAAAAAATTGACTCAGCCCTAAACAGGACATGTATATCAGTCCCGTGAAGGACCAGGAAATATCTTGGAAGAGTGGATAGAAGGAATGTAAGAGACAGAAGGCAGGGAAAGGAGTAGTGAAATACTTTCTTCTGACCACCACATAGCCGATGCTACAAGGTGTCGTGATCTCACAGCAGCTGCAGTGACCTGGAAGGGGCCTACCAACAGTCAGTCATGGCTCTCAGAGGGGCTCGTGGGGCCCTATCCCTCCCCACTGAGCTGTGTGATGAGTCTGAGAGAGGAAGAGCCCTCCTCTTCAGCTGTGTACTCACTGATGAGCCCAGCACCTTGCTCAGCTCCAAAGCCACAGGCGTACAGATGGCCCTGGTGAAACTCAGTTGGTCACAAAGCAAAGCAAAAAGACACGGCTATGGGAAATTGACTTGTAGGGAAGAGGAGAAGGGATAGGAATGGGAAGAAGGGGAAAGAAGGTGGAGGGGTGTCAGTAATCAGAATGCACTATGTACATGGATGAAATTTTAAAAGAACAATTTCAATAAAAGCTACAGAAAAGTGTGAATATAAAAGGGAATATGAAAAATGCAGAAAAAAAAAAAATCACCCAGCATTCTCCCACCCAGACACAATACTAATAATATAGCCAACTCTCCCTGTTGAAAAGTTGAAGCTTTTCCTTCAACTTGACTTTTCTTAGATACAATTTTGTTTAGCTAGACACTTTCTATCTCTTTTTTGGTGTTTTTTTTTTGTTTTTGTTTTTGTTTTTGTTTTTTGGAGACAGGGTTACCCTGTATAGCCCTGGCTGTCCTGGAACTTGCTCTTTAGACCAGGCTGGCCTCAAACTCAGAGATCCATCTGCCTCCCCCTCCTGAGTGTCGGGGCTAACGGTGTGTGCCACCACACCCAGCTACTATCTCAGCCATGTTGCAAGACATTTTCCTATGCTATTAACATTCTTTGAAGACATATAATTACTAGGTGACTGCTCCATCAGTGGGGGCAGCAAACTGCATCTTGATTATTAACCAGCAGGCAGTCCAGAGTAACTAGGATGTGCGTTAAGTTAATCTGTTTGAGGGTAGACCTCAGAAGAGTGAAGGAACTTCCTAATCCATGTCTCAATTTATTTGTTATGATGGAAAGGAAAACTAGGGAAGAAAGAAGTGCATTAGATTTGATTGTTTGGGTAAGTGCAGTTTTTCTTGGATGGCATTTGTTCTGCTACAGCCAATGGGACCACAGTTTCCAAACACCAGAGCAGCAAGAATGTTGGATATCCTATCTTTGTTCATCAGTGTTATCATTTTCTGAGTCAACCCCATTTCTTCCCATAGTGTATGCTTCAAACCAACTCTGAGACTGGAAACGTCAACCCGACATAGTCAGAAGTGGCTGGTTCATCTCAAGCCCATTGACCCATGTGAACTCTGAGATTTCTCCAGAGCTTCAACGATGACCTCACAAGGACCTCCCGAGGTATCACCCCAGAGCTGCACAGGAGTTAGGGCAGGCCCTGCTCCCCTTAGAGAAAGAAGTTCCTGAAGATTCTGAATAGCTCAGTGCCATGTGACGTGTGCACGCAGCCAGCTGCAGCTCAGCTGTCCATTACCCACCGTGCAGGCAAGCTCCCTGCGCCAGCCATCTGATGCCGTACCTGGTAGTGCTGGTCGCAGGCCCTCGGGAGACAGCTTGGCCTTTTGCAAACTACACTTGCCTTCATTTAGTTTAAAGGTTACACTTGTCCTGACGGTGACGACATCTTCAGAAAGAAATAAGTAAGAGAAATTACCTCCATAGGCAAAAGAAGAGAACACCCAGAAGATGATGGCACACTCCCCCTGGCTGGGTCTCACTATGTAGCCAGTGAACCCCTCTTAACCCTTGAGATGATCCAATGAAGGTTTGCCTCATGAAGTGCCCGATACCTTGCACAGGTTCACCTGGAACCCCTGATCCATGTCTTAAGGGAGCGATGGATCCAGTGTTTAAATGTAACAGAGAAAGATCCCCAAACGGTCTCCACAGCCAGACGAAAGATGAGGTAGTTTTTGTGCCTTCCTCAGAAGGAAGGCAAGTATCCTCCAGCTCAAAACTGGATAAGATAGTTGAGGGAAGTCTCTGCTGTGTGTGGCTTCCAGAGAGGACATGGCTGAGGGGATGCCAGTCCTTCTGGGATCTGGGGTGGAGTGAGTACAGAATTCTGTTCTCCCAAAATTGTTCTTAACTATATGTTGGGCTGGAGCCCATGCCTCTATGTGAAAGCCCTCTGATTTGTGAAAACATCAGCATGTTCCTTAACCTTCCTTATCTCAGTTTCCTCATCTAGAATGCACATAATGAAGCACCCGTATTACCAGAATATTGCAAGGATTAAATGAGATAGTGGCAAAAAATATAAATGTTTAGCTGGCTGCCTGGTATATTGTAGGACTGTTAGCTACTTGCTTGCTGATGCTTAGAGCATCCGCTATGACTGAAGAATTAGCACTGAGGGATTTGGTGAACCAGAGCATGTTGTCTCCTCTGGTTTGGTCCTAACACCCATCAGAAAGGGCAGCAAAGAGCAGTGCTTAAGACGCTGAACTCAGACTGTGTGAGTTCAAATCCCATCTCCTCTATTTTTATCTGAGCCTTGTTTTGTGGTTGTTGTTGTTTTGATTCATGAGGATAATAATAAATAATAATAAATAATAATAAAATAATAAATAATAAAATAAAAATAATAAATTGATGCCGCCAACACTTGGGCAGCTGAGACAGGAGGACTGTCATGAATTCAAGGTCATCCTGAACTATATAATACATTCCCTGCTAGCCAGGGTAACAGAGTGAGACATGCACATACATACATAGATATGTATGTATGTAAGTATGTATGTATATGTGCATAGAGTTACAAGTGGATTAAATAGCCTGCTCTATGCAATATAGTGTATATATTGCAATACAGTGTAGCTGGAGTATTTTAACTTCTAAACTACCATCTTGCTTGGGATTTCAAACTTTGGACGTCTTTATAATATAGACATCAAGATATAATGTGGTTCTCAATTTGGATAAGCTTGTGCCAAATTGGCAAATGTGTCTTTATCTAGGAAGATGAGGTGTCTAGAAAACATTGGACTTGTATTTAGTCCTGTGACAAACTGGAATAAGTTCAGGTCACCTTCTTGAGAGAGAATCCCACTTCCCCATTCTGTCCATGACACCTCTATGAATGCCATATGTGCCAGGGTCCCAGACTTGGTCACTACTGGGCCTTTAAAGTGCTCTGGGATAGAGGGAGTATGGATCATGGAACTGTTTTCTCCAGAGCTCTGTGGACCTCTCGTCAATCCAGGCTGAGCAGGACTCCCAAGTACACAGGGGACACTCAGTAAGTATGATTTCCACTGGTGATTTAGGTATCAGACACCACAGCTGTGGGTAAGAACACCCTATAATGTGCTCACGGCATCCAGATAAGAAAAGAGCAAACAAAACTACCCCCACAAACAGCACCTCATGAAAGAAGCCCATGGAACACGACGAGCCCCTGCAAGAACACAGTTTGGTAATTACCCCCAAAAGCAGAGTCATTTGATTTTTGCTGTCTGCTTCTGAGAGAGGAAGAGCCGCAGGTGACAGAGTAGGCCTCTTGCAGTCCTGACAGACAGAATGTGGAATTGTCACAACACATAAGCAAGATGACAGGCTATCCTGACTGCAGCTAAAGTCACCCTCCCACCCCACCCTCACACACTCCACAGAGGCTACTAGAAAAACCACCCTGGACATGGGCTCTCTAAGCATGGGCCACTGGTGGTCAAGAAGGATCTGGTCCAGAACCGGAAGCCCTTTGAGCGCATCTAACACTTACAGGCCCCGCCATGAGAGCCTCCCCAGGGGGGTTATGCCACTCACCTGAAGAGAGGTGAATGCCAGAGTGGCATCTTAGGAAGCACCTGTCTCCTCCACCACTCTTACCACAGTGCAGGGACACACGGGGGGTCATGCTAGTGGGCAGGAAGCCCTTCACTTCTAGACAGGACAAAACACAGGTGCTTAAGGAAAAAGAAGCGTGTACCCAAGTGTGATGAAAGTGGAGCATGCCAAAGGCCCCAAGAAAAGAAGGCAAAGCTGACCCCCCTCCCCAGTGCAGCCTCGCTGACAAGCTGTACCTCCCATGGAGGTCAGGGAAACACTTGTCTGCTGTTCATTCATGCAGAGAAGCGACCGTGAAACAGAAGGACGCTCCAGTCTATGCAGAAGCACAGAGCTGAATGTCAAGGAGCCTGCAAAGTATCTCCTGTTTTTGGACTTGTTAAAGACCAGCTGCTGCTGCTTCAGAAGGAAGGATTCAAAGGGAAAAGTGCACTTTGGGCCCAGGGGCGTATGCAAGCACACAGAGATTGAAATCTCTGGACTTGGGGTGAGCCTGCAGCCACATGGGAACTATGGAAGGATGGAGCCTCTTACCCACACAGTCTTTTTTATTCCAGTGGAGCTTGTACCCCGGATGACACTGGCACTCATAGCCACCCACTGTGTTGACGCAAACTTGCTCACAACCTCCATTGTTGACGCTGCACTCATTGGTGTCTGTGGAGCAAAAATGGCCCCTGTCATGACATTTCTCCTTGAGGAGGAAGCAGTAGGATGAGTCACATGGTTGACCGACTGTCATTTTAGGACTGTCATTGTACTTGACACCTGCTGGCTGCATGCTGCACACTCCCCACCAGCATGAGCCTTGGTTGGGAGGCTTTAGCCATTGACAGAAACACCCAAAAAGGAGCACACCATTTTCAGATGTTCAGACTTGGACCTTGCATGAGCTTTGAAATTGAAACTCTACCATCCTCTGGTCTGCTTACCAAGGGAGAGAGACAGAATTAAGATTCCCTGCTTAAACTGTTTCTACAGTGGAGAGAGAAGAAAAGCTGTGTGTACCTACCCATGCCCATGAACTTGGCACTGAACCCGAATTGGAAGGTAGCTCCCAACCAGGCTGACATCTGTCTTCAAGGAGTATTTCACTGGGGTCTCTTGATAGATGGGGTAGGGTGGAAGGTATGCTTTTAGTTGTGCCAATAATGTGTGGGGAGTGAGAGGGGAGACACATCATTATCTGTTCTTCTCAAACTCAGGGCATGAGGACTGGCAAGAAATGCTCCAGTCAAAGGTCTCCAAATCCCACAGATACTTAGAATCACCAAAGAAACCTCAGGCAAGTTGTTCTAAGGTCTAAATCAATGACAGGTGATTGCCAGGAAAGTAGAGTGAGAGTCAGTTGGCACAAAATCTGATTTATATATACCACAGCCTATTTGATCATAAGGGTAGGAGACATGAGCATACATTGTTAAATAGGCACAGAACGAAGAGACAAAGTCAATGTCCCCTTCTGAACCCAAGCTTGAACCAAGGCTTTACAGCCAATGCCCAGACAGAGCAAAACTACACGTTTGCTGGGTTCCCTGCCAAGCCTCGCTGAAGACAGCAGCATTATCCTCTGCTGGGAAGGCCAACGGGATATTGTCTCAGCACCTGTAAGACTCTCCCACTCTCTGAATATAAGCACAAGTCAATTCGCTGATGAATCCACAGCTGACAGAGCTCAGTTCCTCTGTGCTCCGTTGCGTGCCTGAGGAGCTAACAGGGTAAATGTAAGCATATTCGCTTTGGTGGGTACTTTTCTTGTTGCTACTGTCCAAAACTGTTCCCTTTGCCCCAGAATGAGAAGATAACCCCTCAAGTGTGGCTCTGCTCCCGGGCGGGCCTCACTGTGGAGAGGTAGCCCACTCACCTCCGCAGTGGGTGAAGCTATAGAGTGTGAACCCTTTGTTGCAGGCACAAGCAAATGTGCCAGGGTGGTTGATGCAGCTGTGGTCGCAGGTCCTTTCCAAAGAGCATTCATCCACATCTGTAATGATCAAAGAGGGGAGCTGACACCAGCTCTGCTGCATGAGTAGAGGTGTCTGTGGTAATTCCAAGTTGCTGACCAATAGCAAAACAACATGTGTAAGGACAACTGGTCAACCCATCCTCTCTGATCATTTGTATCAAAGAACATGTTGACTATGTTATAACTATAACCCATAACCACTATAAGTTCCTTGGTTGTAGGTCCTATTGCAAACTTTACTTGCTTAAAGTTCATATGACCTCTTTTGTTCACACTTACATTGCAGGGCTGAGAAATTTAAGCTATATAATTTATTTAAGTTTTTAATCAGCTTGACACAAGGGTCATCTGAGAAGAGGGACTCTCAATTGAGGAAATAGCTCCATAAGATGGGCTGGTAGGAGAATATTATTGCTTAACAACTAAGGTAGGAGGGACCGGCCCTCTGTGGGGAAGATGGGGGTAGGTTATCCTGTGCTGTTTAAGAAAACTAACTGAGCAACCATTGAGAGCAAGCCAGTAAACAGTGTTTCTCCATGGCCTCTGCTTCAGTCCTGGCCTCCAGGTTCCCACCCTGCTTGAGTTCCTGTCCTCACCTTCCTCAGCAATGGCCTGTGATCTGATGTGTAAGCTAAATAGGCTCTTTACTCCTCAAGTTGCTTTTGGTCATGCTGTTTTGACACAGCAATAAAAAGCAAACTAACATAAACAAAGGCAAAGGAGATACCTAAAAATAGTTTCATAACCCAGTTTATAAATAGTAATGATAGCTATTCATTATCATCGCTCTATATTTGTTGGTAAATGGCAAAACAAAAGGAGTAAATGCTTTGGTTGGCAACAATTCTGGTTTCTCTCTTTCTCATTTTTGCCCCAACAGGCCACTTGACCCTGTGTCTTAATGCCCTCTGCATGAAAAGAATACATTAACACGAACCTTCTGTGATTTTCTATAAAAGATGCTGAAACTGGGTTGGTTAAAGTCTAAATTGGATCTACTTGGAAAATCTCTTGGTCTTGTTACTCCTCCCTGTGCCCTCTATATCAGAGGCTCAGAGGGGATACATCTCTAGCAGCGAGTAGAGCCATGCAAACCAGCCTCTGCAAGCTGCATCTAAGAACCTGATTATGTGGGGGTTTTTGTTGTTGTTGTTGTTGTTTTGTTTTTACATCTTACTCCCTGAACTCTTGGGATGGTTTAATTGATGCCTCCAAATAGATAACCCTGGGTCACACTTAGTGGATGACAACCACGCCATTGGGCTGGACCACTTTTCTATACCAAACATACCATGAAAAGCTCCATCAATAAAAAGCAAACATGTTAGCCAGATGTGGTAGTGTGTGCCTGTAATTGTAGCACTTTAGAGGCAAAGGCATTAGAATCACCATGAGTTCAAGGCCGGCATAGCTTAAGGACTTTCCAGGCCAATCAAGACCTGATTTGACTCAAAAGAACAATAACTGTCATTCTCTCTCTGTCTCTCTCCATCTCTGTCTCTGTCTTTCTCTCTCTTTCACACACACACACAAAGTGGGAGGAGGGTGAGAGGAAATAAGGGGAAAGGGGAAAGGAAGCATGGATAGATCAAGAAAAATTAACATAAAAGAGCAAAGTCTTGCAAAGTTCTTCTTTCCCTGGCTTTTTCTAGAAATCCTGACAGTTTCTTCAGCAAATTCACTCTGTGAAAATATTTGTTCTACCAAGAGCAATGGATGGAAAATGAGAAAATGTCAGTTTCTTTCCTAGTACTTGATGCCATTCCTGAGGTCTGTTACTAACATCAGCCAGTTGCTGACAAGGTGCCCTCCTTCAGTAGCTGACTTTGGCTGCTCCCTGTGGATGTTTGCTTTGCCAAAAGTAATGAGATCACTTTCCTAATTCCTTTTTAATGTGTTTACACAGCTTAAACATATTTCTTGTCCTATACATTATGAAACATTGTGTGGAATAGAAAAATTGGCCTTCCAAGTCAAAACGAAGAAAATCACAAAATAATTATCTAGAATTAAATCACTGAGTCTAAAGGAGAATGGATTTGAACTGCCTGGCAAATTATGTATTAGGAACAAAGAGGGAAGGAAAGCCCAGTTTGCTCTGTAAAGTATCTTTTTTTTTAAGATGTTATATCTTTATCTTGTGTGTATGCATGCATTCATGTGTGTGTGTGTGCACATGGGTATGAAGGCCAGAGGTCAGCATCAGGGTCTTCTTGAATTGCTCCCCACCTTATTTTTTGAGACAAGGTCTCTCATTCAACCTGAAACTTGCTAATTCTGCCAAACTGCCTGGCCATTGAACTCCAGGGAATTTCCTGTTTCTGCTGCCTAGGACTGGAATCACAAGCACACACCACCACACTCAGCTTTTGTTTTGTTTTGTTGTTTGTTTTACAAGACAAGGTTTCTATGGGTAGCACTGGCTTTCATGAACTCCCTTTGTAGACCAGGCTGGCCTCAAACTTACATTGATCTGTCCTGCTCCTGCCTCCCTGAGTGCTGGGATCACAGGTGTGCGCCACAATGCCCGGCACCACGCTCAGCTTTGTCAGCGGGCGCTGGAGAACCCAAACACAGATCCGCACACTCACATGGCAAGCAGTTTGCCCACTGAGCCATCTCCCCAGCAATCAGTGTTACATTTTATATTCTGATCTTTAGGCAGTGTTGGGCTTTGCTTTGAGGTTTTTGTGGTTGTTTGTTTGTTTGTCCTGGATCTCTAGCCAGGCTGGTCTCAGACTTGATAAGCAGCCAAGGATATCTCTGAAGCACCTGCTTCTACCTCCCTAGTCCTAGGTGTGGGACACCACATATGGTTCATGCAGTGTTGGGGACCCATTCCAGGTCCTTGTGCATGCCAAGCAAGCATTCTACCAACTAAGCTTCTACCCCTCAATGAGCCCCCGATGCTGAGATGCTAATAAAGTAAGTAAGGCAGCCTTATTCCCAGAAATAATGGAACAAGATAAATAACAGTATTTTCCTGCAACTTTCTTCTTATATGTATTGACAGGACATGAAAGCTGTTAATCTACAAATAGAAATGATGTTTGCCCTAGATTAGTTGTTAACATTGACAACTGCTGTTCACTGTGTGTGGGAAGGATACAGTTGAAAGGGGTCTGTTACAGGCTAGAGAGATGCATCGGCGGTTAAGAGTGTGGGCCACAGGGGTCTTCCCAGAGACTCATACTCCAACCAAGGACTATGCATGGAGATAACCCAAGACCCATGCACAGATGTAGCCCATGGCAGTTCAGTATCCAAGTGGGTTCCATAGTAATGGGAACAGGGACTGTCTCTGACATAATCTGATTGGTCTGCTCTTTAATTACCTCCCCCTGAGAGAGAAGCAGCATTACCAGGCCACAGGAGAAGACAATGCAGCCACTCCTGATGAGACCTAATTGACTAGGATCAGAAGGAAGGAAAAGAAGTCCTCCCCTATCAGTGGACTTGGGGAGGGGCATGCATGCAGAGGGTGGAGGAAGGGAGGGATTGGGACGGGAGGGAGAGAACCACAGGGGGGATACAATGTGAATAAAGTGCAATTAATAAAGAAAAAAAGAAGTAATATATTCAGAAAAAAAAAAAAGAGTGTGTGCCATCCTTACAGAGGACCGACTGGAGTCTGGCTCCCAGTGCCTACAGCAGGTGGCTCACAACGACCTGTAACTCCAGCTCCAGGATATCTGATGCCTCTGGCCTCTGTGGGCACCTGCACTTGCAGGCACCTGCCCCCACACAGACATGTGTATTAACATATTTCAAAGAATACAAAATAAGTCTTTAAGAGGAAGGAAGGAAGGAAGGAAGGAAGGAAGGAAGGAAGGAAGGAAGGGAGGGAGGGAGGGAGGGAGGGAGGGAGGGAGGGAGGGAGGGAGGAAAGGAAGGGAGGGAGGGAAGAAGGGAGGGGGAGGGAAGGGGAAGGGAGGGATGTCTATAATCTTCCTATTAGGCAACCAGTATATCTTCTATTCACTCCTTTTCCACCCACCTCAAAGCAGTCATCCACAGTAAGGGCTGGAGGAAAAGACCAGCTGGTTCTGGATTGGGAATTGACCCCCAACTTTTTGCTAGGTATGAGTGTTATCCAAATCTACAAATTTTTGCCACCAACTTTTGCCAAGCATTCAACTGCAGTAAAATAGATTTTAGAAAAGGAGAAATACCTCTAATCTCAAGATCCAACCTAACCCTGCTGGCATCACGTGCTCTCTTCCCTTCCTAGCAGTGGGTTCCACCGTAATCAGGTCTGACGGGGCCTCTAAGGTGTTCCCTAATGCTAATAGCCTAGTTTCCAAAGTTCATGTGAACTACACCATGTTTTCATTCAACCTAGAATGAAGCATGTAAAATCCAGGAGATGGGAATCCATGACTCCATCGGGAGCAGGGTGAGCCAGTCTCTACCAAGCCAGGACTCATTTACACCTTCCCTGTCCTCAGCTTCCACTTCAGCACATACCTTGGCAAGACTTCTCATCTGTTAGTAATTTAAATCCTTTTTTGCAGCTGCAGTCAAAACTGCCCACGGTGTTTTTGCAGAAATGGTTACAACCTCCGTTTCGGGTCTGGCACTCATCAATATCTGTAAAAGGCAAGCACTAGGAACCAGAGGGCAATCACTGCCTGGCCTCCCCCAAGTCCCCAAACTGCTCCTGTGCCAGCCACTTATCCTCAGAAAGAAAATCAGACTCTCAAGAGCACTCAGGAATGTTCTCTGATGGTTTCAATCTTATAGGCACTTTCTGGTCTGGCTGAAAGATAAGTACCCCGTCTAGTTGACAGTTCTGACTTTCCATGCCGTCAACAAGCACTAAAGGAACAAACTCTGGAAAGGAACGGTGATCTCATGTTTTATTTTATTCTCATCCTCTAATGCCCTCCAAAGGGCATTAGATAAGACAACCTCCATTAGTATCCTTTTTTTCTAGCTTAATGACTAAAGCTATAAGGCACAAGAGCTTTTGTTTTGGCAAATTACACAATGACCAAATGGTCTCAACGTTTTTTAATGATTCCTGATGCTTAATCTTATCTTTCCCCAGTTTTATCTCACAACCAGTTTATCTATTTTTTTTTTTATCATGCTAAAGAACTAACAAACCCTTTGTACTCTTGCCCATAAAAGACCAGCAAGTCATTAGGGTCTGTCTTCATTAGTAAAAGATAGTGGTACAGTTATTCGTTAACTGCTCCGGATAATAATCTTGGCCGTTATTTACATGTAATCTCCAGGCTATTATTTATGATAGGTTGATATTATCTTCTGCCAATGAATGTTCCATAAACTGCTTTTCGCTAATAAGGCCACTTTCCTGAAATGGGTTATCTATCTGATGCTTGCAGAGGCTGACCTTCTCAGCAGCTAGTGTAATTAAGTCGCTTCTAATTATGCTTGCTCAATTATAACCTTCCACTAGCCCAGGGAAGAAAAGCTCCCATCAATATGAATCACATGCAAATCTGGAAGCATTCAAACGGTGTGGAAGGGCAGAATTGCCTCAGTCCTACACAGGAGCAGTTTGGGCCTCCCTCCACCCAGGTCCCCAGCCCCTCAGCCCCCAGCTCCCAGACACTCGAAGGCCACCTTTACATGTCTTCCCATCCAACTGGAGAGTGAATCCAATGGGACAGCTGCAGTGAACACCTGTTGACGTGTCCTTACAGGTGCGATCACAGCCTCCATTGTTGACAGCACACGTTTCTGATGAGAGATGGGAAGGGCAGTTAGAGTCCTAAAGGAGCCCTACAGATAATACTGTTGAAAGCACAGAAGGGTGCTCACAGGCCTACCCCGAGTCTCTGCCACCTACAGGTGAGACACAGGAGAGCTGCTGCTGCATCTCCTCAGGGCTACTCAGCAAACTGGTGACCAGAGGGAAGGTATCACCAATCTACAGAAACATCCTCCACCCACTAAAGGTCCATGGTCACCACAGCCAACAACCTGCTGAGTACAACCACTCAATCTGGCGGGCCAGACTGAGCACAGAACAGGTGATGTACCTTTCTTTTACAGAAGCTTCTCTCATCTGAGTGATGGGCCCAGGGGCTCATCCTGACCATTCCCTCGCTACACACTAAAGACTTTGTCCTTGCAAATACCAATTTACTCACTTGTTTTGCTTTGTTTTCTCTCGCTCTCTCTCCCTGAAAAAGCCTGCCACAGCTACTGAATAATGAACTCTGGAAGTTCTTCATTTCACCTGGTCATTCTCAGCGATAGGTGAGTACCAGTCAGCACTCACGCAATGCTAGCACCCTGACGTCCAGAAACCTCCCTCGCTACCTGGTTTGAAAGCCTGGGGAACAAGCTTAGTACTTACTAAACACAATAGCTATGTGTGCTTGTCTGTATTTCCTCTGAATACTTAGCTACACTGGGATTAAGTAAGTGTTTAAATGTGTAACTCCTCTGGGATGAATAAAATGAAAGCGAAGACAGAAAAAGATGTCAACTATTAAGAAGTGGCATGTCAATGGAGAAGAAGGTTAATCCCTTGGGTCTTGGGGGGAGGTTCTCACAGGGGCAAAGCCAATGTGAACCCCAGAACCCAGGGAGGTCCATGAGTTAGAGACAGGAAGCTCTTCTAGGAGATAAGGATGAAGTAAAAAATAATAGTAATAATAATTAAATAAATAAATTTAAAAATAAATAAATAGAACAGGTTGCCTGAGAAGTCCCCATACCCCATCCCCCACATTCAGCCCCAACACCCCATCCCTAGCCTTAAAACCCTCATCTCCCACACCTTGATACACGGCTCCCACCCCTAAGCTCTCATTTCCAGATAGCCAGGTGACCAGGCCCCAGCTAAAGTACAGCTTACACGCTGGGAAGGTCAGACCATGCACCAGGGATCACAAAGGAGGAAAAGGGAATCACAGTTAGTTCAATGAAAGGCTGGTGCTTGGAGAGACAGATTTTTAAACCCACAATCCCAGACTAGCTCCAGATAGCCAAGGCTACATAGAGAAACCCTGTCTCAGGAAAAAAAAAAAAAAAAAAAAAAGAAAGGAAGGAAGGAAGGGAGAGAAAGAGAGAGAGAAAGAAAGAAAGAAAGAAAGAAAGAAAGAAAGAAAGAAAGAAAGAAAGAAAGAAAGAAAGAAAGAGCTGGGATGTAGCTCAGTTGGGTGTTTGTTTAGCACCCATGAAGCCCTGGGCTCCATCCCCAGCAATGCATCAACTGAGCACGGTGACACATGCTTGCAATCCCAGCACCTGGGGAGTAGAGGGAGGGAGGGAGGGAGGGAGGGGGGACCCGAAGTTCAAGATCATCTTCATCCCTAGTGAGTTTGAGCCCAGCTTGGGCTACATGAGATGAGAGGGGAAGGAAGGGAGGGAGGGAGAAAGGGAGAGAGAGAAAGAGAGAGAGAGGAGAGGAAAATAAGATGAAAACAATGGAGCACTGGTGTCGCAATTCTGATAGAATATTCCTTCCAACTCTGAATTCTATAATGAGCCAAATTTTCAGTGAAGGGTGAAGGAGAGTGCATATAAAGGCATTTGGAGGCACACAAGGTTTTTAGAAACCTTTATCTCATCCACAATATAATGTGACAAAGGTCAAGACAGGGGCTCTGCCAAAACAGGAGAGCAGAGAAGGGGGTTCTTAGGCCCATGGGAAAGTCGCAGCTGACAGAGCTTGCAGGCCAGGAGTTAGGCCCTCCCCAGCAGCAGGAAGCCCCAGAGAGACTGATGGTCAGAGAAGAGAAGGGAGTTAGGAAGAGCTGCTTTAGAAAGCTGTGCCAGCGATTCCGCAAAGGCACCGGTGGGTGGGTCTTAGAAAACAGCTCTCCCATTTGCAACCAGCATACAACGACAGAACATTTCAGGACTTAGATGAACGCTGTAAAATGCGCTCAGTAACGTAAACACTTAGGGTTGACTGAAATTTTGATAAACCGTATTAAGGACATGGGGGAGGGGTGTGTGTACACCTAAGTTTGAATCCCTAGCATCCTTCATTTGGGGGAGGGACGGGGAAAGGAAACAGATGACTCTGAGGAACTCAGTAATCAGCCAGTCTAGTCAAATCTTGATGAGCTTGGGTTTCAGTGAAAGACCCTGTCTCAAAATATGAAATAAATAAATAGCACTAGAGGAAAACACCCAACATATATGTCTGGCCTCCACGCTTGTGTGCATGAGTGAGCAGTGTGAAATCTTGTGTGCATGCTACATACACACATAAATAAAAGGAAAAAAAATTAAGCAGAAGAGGGATCCGAAAGTCCCCTGCTTGGTAATCAGTGTGGGTCAACATCACAGCTGACTAGTAAACCCAGGAACTGTCAGATGGGCAGTTTTACTTAAGTCAAACCCAATGTTCCAAAATAATGTGTCAAAAGATCTGTCTGGTCCCATCCCCACAACTGCTGCCCCTTCTCTCTCATCTCTAGCTTGACTGTCGGGGCTGCAGGCCAACTGTCTCACGTCCCCCAGCCAAAGTGCCACTCTTCCCCATTCAGATCCCCTAGCGCTAACACTGGCTGACTCCAAGATGGAAGCCTGGTGGGCACAGAAACAGACAAACTGCCATGCTAAGCTGGAGGCTGCCCAGAACGCTTTGTCGTACAGCTAATCAGAGAGAAGAGAGCTGGTGCTCCACGGCCACCCACTGCATCCCACACACGAGACTCCGGGCTCTTCCACATTATTACCTCTTTAAGAATGTATTATGCTTATTGATTTATGCAGGCAGGTGGGTAGGCGTGCATGTGCACAGCACGTGTGTGGAGGTCAGAGGACAACCTGTGGGAGACCATTCTCTCCTTCCAGCACGTAGGTCATCAGGCTTGATGGCAAGTACCGCACCCCATGTTAGTATCTTAACCGAACCCTCTGATAACCCTAACAGATAGATTTTATTACATCCTGTTTATTTTTACTTTTTTGTTGTTGAGGCATGGTTTCACTATGTAGCCCTGATTAGCCTGGAACTTACTGTGTAGACCAGACTGACCTCGAATTCACAAAAATCTACCTGCCTTTACCTCCCAAGTGCTGGGATTAAAGGCATGCGCCACTATGCCTACCTGAAATTTAGTTATTCTGAGACAAGGTTTAACGTATCCTAGGCTGTCCTCTAATTTACTATGTAAGGAAGGTGACCTTGAACTTCTCATCCTCCTGCCTTCACCTTCTGAGTGTTATAGTCATGTGATATCAAGCCTAGTTTATGGTATGTGGGGACCAAACCCAGGGCTTTGAACATGCTAGGCAAGCACTCTACTGGAGCTCCGCCCGTAGCCATTACATGTATTTTAAAGAGAGACCTACAAGCAGAGAGGGTCTCAGAAGTGGTTTGCCAAGTCTCACACACAGTTGGGCAGTGCTAGGACATTAACCTGATTATTCTAATGACTTGGCACAGTACCAGGGATCTTGGACAGTGACAAAGGAACAGTTTGGGGTAGAGAAGCAAAACATATCCTGGCTTCAGAGAAGCTGCTCATCCCAGCCCAGCGGCCTTGAGATGCATGAGCTCTAAGCTTAGGCCTGCTGCAATGAGCTAGAGAGGGAAAGAGCTGTGACAAGGCCAAGGAAGAGAGAGGGTTGCCTACCCATGAGCAGCCGCCGTTTCACCCGCTTATCTCCGTCTGCCACTGATGTGGCATTGTTCTCCGTCCCCTCCAAGACAGTGCCCTCTTGCTCTGCAACAGAAGCAAAACCACAGCTGTCAGGAAAAATGATCAAACTACTCATTCCCTGAGCAAGCCCTTGTGCTGGAATCACTCCATGAGATGATTGGACCAGTGGCAGATGGGTAACAGCCCACTCCAGAAGAACAAGCCACTATGTGGTTCTGTGGGAAACAGCATATTAAATGACTAAAGAGCCTTCTGAACATTAAGCATGGAAAGGGTTCTGGAATATAAGGAGCTGGGCAAAGCGACTCCAGGAGATGCCAGCTTCAGAGTGACTGCAGAGCCCTCAGTTCAGGACAAGAACTCCAAGACAGCAAGCAAAGGTCATGAAAAGCAGGGCAGACTGTGACTGTAAGGGTTGCTGTACCATTGCGCACAGCCAGTTCTGGTCTCTGTCACCCTCTTCCTTTGGAATATATCATCCAGGTCTCTAGAACACCAGATTCCAGAAGAGCCCAGTCCATGGGAAGAACAAGAGCTTTCTAAAGAGAGAGGCCACTCACACCGTAACATGTGAAGGAGCCTCGGATATCAGCCATACCTCACACCTGGGGCTAAACACTATTAAGGATTAAGGTTAAGAAGAGGGTGCAGGGGAGGTGTGGGCAGGCTGAGGCTAAAATCACTCACCGAGGCAGCTCCTTCCGTCAGCGTGCAGCCTGTACCGAGGATGGCAGCTACACTCAGGGCCTTCGGCTGTATCTTCACAGGAGTGCTGACACCCACCGTTTCCATGGTTACAAGTCACTGAGATCAAAGTGAATCAATACTTAAAGAACTGAGGTTTCCACAACCAAGGCTGGGTTTGTAATCAAAGAACTTTTTAAAAAAATTTTAATGGCAGGGTCTCACTACATAACTGATCTAAATAACTCACTGTGTATCCCCAGCCGCCCTTGAACTCTCAAAGATCCACCTGCTTCTACTCCCCAAGCGCTGAGATTAAAGGCATGCACCACCATGCTTCCCAAAGTACCTGCCTGACACATGACATAAAAGACCTTCTGCTAAGGCCTCATTCTTGTCTGTGTATGCAGTGTCACAGCGTCATTGTATAAACCACAGTAGTACCAAAACAAGGCTTGCACAGAGTGATACAGAGAGAAGGCGATGGAAAGGCTGGTGTGGGGAGGGCTTCTCTATGGAGGGGGATTATGCCAAGTGATTCTAGACTTTGCTTCCCTCTGGTGAAGTCTGCCTGTGAGCACAGCTGCACCCTGGGGCTTCTGGAAATTCTCTAGCACTTCATGTCTGGAACACACTGACAATATTTAATTTGCACATCTATGTTAGGGCTTCTCTCGTCACCTGGATTCCTTATAAGGGAAAGTAGCCACAGAAAGTGGCAACTCTTTGCACACAGTGAATGCAAATATCAGCCAAGAGTTATGAAGACTGTGTGAAATCACTGATGGCAGGACAAAAAATAAAAAATAAACCTAAAAAGCTAACTATAAAATTATGTGACTGTACCAGGGGAGGTGGCACACACCTTTAATCCCAGCACTAGGGAATCGGAGGCAGGTGGATTTCTGTGAGTTCCAGGCCAGCTAGCTACACAGTGAAAACTTGTCTAAAAACAAGAACAAAAACTATCAGGCAGCTGGCAGAATGAGAGAGAGAGGGAGTAGAGCAAGTCTTCATTATGTGCCTCTGAGTGGTTTAAATTTTTTCATATGTAATTTTTCTAATTTAAAAGAACAAATTTTATATTTGTACTATAATCACACCTATGTAAAATTGGGCATGCATATGAATGATGACTAAATAGGAATATGAGAGAAAAAAAAGAACTAGCTATGTTATATGATTCTGGGTCATGTTTTCTACCCTCTTTTTTTTTTTTTTTTCTAATCTTTTGATACAGGGTCTTATGTAGCCCAAGTTGGCCTCCAATTGATTCTATAGCCAAGTATCCAAAAATGACCTTGAACTACTGATCCTCCTGCCTCCACTGCCCAAGTGCTAGGATCACAGGAATGTGGCTTTTTTTTTTTTTAATTCTTCAAATGTTCTAACAGAAAAGTATTTAAGCAGTGACATCGTTTAAAAATTTTTTAAAGTAAAATAACAACAAAAAAGCTTATTGGTCTGGTGAGATAGAACAAGGTAGAGTCCCCTGGGTCTGATGACCTCGGTTCATTGCCAGGACCCACATGGTGGAAGGAAAGAATGATTCCCACAAGTGGCTCCTGTGTCCCTGAGCTGTGGCTGTGCCTGTGGTTGTTTTTCTCACTTCTGGGTAGGCTGTCCCTACCTCAGCTGAGTGACAGCTCACACTTACAGATGCAGTCTCTCTGGTTCTTGGCCAGTTCAAACCCAGGCCTGCATTCACAGGCAACGCTGCCTTTTGGAGCCTCCTTGCAGATGTGACTACAGCCATGGTCCTTGTTCATGCAGCTCAGGCCCTCTGCAAAACAGCAATACGTGTGACAGACTGGAAAGAACTACGAGGGTGGACAGTGGAGAAGGCATGGGCCTGCCGTCCTGGATCTCTATGGGCCCCATGTTTTATCTACTTTTGTGTCATGAGACAGGGTCTTGCTTTGAAGCCCAGGCTGGCCTTCAGCTCCCTATGTAGTTCAGAATTACCCAGAACTCATAATGCTCCTGCTTCTACCTCCCAGGAACTGGGATTATTAGGCATACAGCCCCTACATGGTCCCAGCCACACATTTTTAAAGACCACATCTGGCCAGTGAGATGGCTTAGTGGGTAAGGGAAACTTAACCACCAAGCCTCACCAATTGAGTTTTATGCCCTAAACTCACATGGAAGGAGAGAACCAATTCCCAGGTCAGAAGTTCTCTGACCTTCACACATATGCAATGGCCTGTGGGTATACACAGGAGTGTACACACAGTCACACACATACATACACACACATGCACCCATACACACCTGAACTTGTATGTACATGCACAGTAAATAAATAAAAGAATATGCATTAAAATCAGTCCAGTCTGGGGCTCCAAGAAATAAAAATAAAGGATAAAAAGCCAGGTGGTGGCGACACACACCTTTAATCCCAACACTTAGAAGGCAAAGGCAGACAAATCTCTGAGTTCAAGGACAGCCTGGTCTATGAAGCAAGTTTCAGGACAGTCAGGGCTACACAGAGAAACCCTTCTTGAAAAACTAAATGAATGAATAAATAATCAGGCTGGACAATTAACAGAGATATGAAAGATTCTTTTGTCACCTAAAAGATAGGATCCCTCAAATTTTCTTAAAGAGAAGCTGGGGTTGGAGAGACAGCTCAGCAGTTAAGAGCACTGGCTGCTCTTCCAGAGGACTTGGGTTCGAGTCCCAGTTTCCACATGATGGCTCACAACCATCTGCAACTTTAGTTCCAAAGAACCCAGCATCATCTCTGGCCTCTGTGGGTGCCAGATACACACGTGGTGCACAGACACACATGCAGGCAGAACACTCATACACATAAAATCATCCTTTAAAAATAAAGAAAACTAGCACCCTCATCCCAGAAAGCAGTACCCAAACTTTTATGTCTGCCATATATTTACATCCACTCCTCCGGAGCACGCAGACACCTGCCTGGATGGTCTCTTATGTGACCATCAGTTATTCGCTTGGCCCCTCCCCTGCATGCTCAGAGCGCTATGCCTCCCACAGACAGCATCACACAACAGCGCAAAAGGGGGAAGAAAGGAAAGGGAGGAAGAGTTCCTGCACGTGGGTTCCCTTAGCTGCTGTGTAATGTTAGCTGTTCTGTAAAAACCCGTTAGGCCCGATCTGTGCTAATGGTGGTGGAAAGGGGATACATCAGGAAGCTATAATACTTGGCGGTTTAACAAGCATCTAAGTCAGTGGTTCTCAACCTTCCTAATGTGACCATTCAATACAGTTCCTCATGTTGTGGTGACCCCAACCATGAATTACTTCCGTTGCTATTTCATAACTGTAATTTTGCTACTGTTTATGAATCATAATGTAAGTATTTGTGGATACAGAGGTTTGTTGAACGGGTCACAACTCACAAGTTGAGAACTGCTGATCTAAATGACGGTACAAGCAGAAGAAACACCTGTGTGGGTTATCAGCAGCCTGCCTCATCAGGAAACCAGTTCATTGAGACCTTGCTCTATGGGTACCAAATTCAGACAGATGCTCAAGATGTCTTCTCAGTCAGGACCGAATTAGTGAGGATGTACACATGTATTATCGCTTGTGTAATACCATTCGTGTAATACCACCCTAAAACATCCCTGAAAATGAGGCTTTGGTTCTCAGTGGTCATGAGACACTCTAATGCTAGAGTTAGGACTGTTTTCACTTGAGAACTGGAAGATTTTATTCAGTTTCACTAAGACTGAACACTATTCTGTATTCTGCCCCTAAAACCTCAGCCAATACACTTTAGTGAAGTGATGTGTCTCTTCTCTACGCCTGTGTGTCTAGGGAACAGTTAGTTCAAAAGACATTTCTATTTCAAAAGACAGTACAGCAGCTGCAGCATCCTCTAATCCTCTTGGGTCTGTCCAAAGACCACCTTGTTTTTCATCTGACAGTTCTGAGCTGTATGCCCCCGCACACAATCTGCTTCATGCTGCTGGGATTCATCAGCCCTGCCAAGGGCTGCTGTCAAGTAGCCCAGAGAAAGGTTTGCACTGGTTTGCTTCAAAGCTCTCTTCGCTCTGGCTGGTCTTTTATGAAGATGTCATTCACGCCCCAGTACCGAAATGGCACAGGAGGTGAGAGCTGCCCGTGGAGGGAGTGTCCTTCCCTCCCCCAAAAGACCCAGCAAATCCTATGTTTGTCTTTGGGTCAGTAGAGCATTTGAAGTAATCAAGGCACGGTGATACTTGCAGGTAGCTGTTAATAGTGCTCAATTATAGTGGTAGGAACCCACAGAAAAATCTACCCCCCCCCCATACCTTCCCTTCACCTTCTGTATATTTTACTCTGTTTATGTGCCTAAGGCATTTGCAAAGTGACCTTTGCAGCCCCTGAGCAGTTCATTTACAATAGAAACATTTCACAAGGAAGACCAGAAGCCATCAGGATGCACAGAGAAGCTACCCCTAGTGTCCCCACACAGCAAACTGGACCTGAAGCTGCCAGGAGGTGACAAAGACTGAAGAGACTCTGAAAATGCAGATGGCTTTTCAAGAGTGACCCCAAAGACCTTCACAATACCCCACCTCAAAACAAAGCCATAGCTAGAGGAGGCAGACAGATCTCATCCAAACTAGAAAGGCCAGCCAGGGCCCTAACTTCCCTAGGATGGTCTGGTAGCCATGTCTAAAACTAAGGATTCACCAAAAGAGAAAATGCTCAGAAACCCTGTAGATGTCCCAAACTTTTGTTCCCTGGCCAGGTGTCCACCGTAGGAGATTCCTGGAAACTTAAAATAAGAATATGCGCCTTGAGAATGAGACAGAAAATATTCTACAAGATGAGAAACGTGCACTGCTGGGGGCAGAGGCTTCTTTACCCCAATCTCCCTGCAGCCAGATCAGGGCAGCAGAATGCCATCTAAATACCCTCAGGGCAGACGAGACAAAAGAGAACTGCTCATTTTGAGAGCCCAGGCACCCCTGAATGGAAACAAAGGCAGACTTTGGGTGAGGTTTCTCTCCAGCCTACGCTCCATTACATGGGTGAAAACACACATTCTCTTTATCACAGCTTTGGGCTTTTTAAGGATTTTTAACAAAAATGCAGTAGCTACAGTTTTCATCAAAATCAGCTACTAGTTCCCACTATTGAAAAACATTTAGTAAATAATTATTTAAAAAAAACAAAACAGTAGCAATAAGAAAATACTAGCCTGTGATGTTAATTTTCTTTATCCACTTTCCAAGGTGGATTTTAAAGTCAGTTTAAATACAGTCTCCAAAAAGTTACTTACTGTACACATGAAGAAGGAAATCCTATGGAACGATTATTTTTAGAAATCATTTGTTTGGTTGAAGAGCTAAAAAATCTTAAGATGGAAGGTGTCACCATTACAAACTGCTATAACCTGCTGCTGGCTCACACTGGCCAATATTTGCCCAGCAGTCAAACTGAAACACAACAGAAGATCAGAGCTTCCAGACCACAACAGCAATTCTTGGATTTGGGTTTTAGTTCCAGACATCTATATTCATGTTAAGTACTCATCAGGGTATCCAAGAATGTCTGGATTGTGGAAGAGTTAGAATTCTAATGCATCTTGCAGAAAGAACAGTGCTTACTTCTGCTCTGAGAAGCCTGGATCTCAAATCAGTCCAGGGGGCTTGTAGGAGGGGAGAGGAGCACTGAGCCAGGGGTAAGTAAGAGACCAGAAAGCCAGCAAGCTGCTGCCGGTGGCTGGAGTCTATACTGAGGGTGCTGAGGCAATGGCTTTACCAGCAGGTCCTTGCCTCCCTCCACAGCCACCAGAAGAGAAAGCCAGAGTGACTTCCCTGGAGGCAGCTTTGAGCAACTACTGACAGGAGAGATGCTCTGAGATTCAGGTCAGTCTGCCTGGCTCCTTAAATGATTCCCATCTCCAGTTCTGACATGTGAAGCTTCATTCAATGCCACCAGGATCCAGAGACCCCACAGCAGGAAGAAAAAAGCCATCACTACTCTTCAAGAGCCACACCTAACATGAGATAAGCAACAGTAGATGTGAGTCTCCTCCATGAGCACTGAGAAGGACTAGACTGGGTGATGACTCTCTTGAACACACTGCCCCAACACCAAGGCATTCTAGTCAAGTGAAACGTAATGTACCATTCTTGGAAAATAGAGTAAGGTCATCTCCCATGAAGAAATGCTTGGAAAGTCCACCTGAAGCCATGGTAAATAGTCAGTTTATAAGTTTGTAATTAATAATGGAAGATCTTAAAGTGACTTCACTCTTAAGATATGGGAATCCATAGCATCATATGCTATATGAATAAATTGCCCAAGATCTAGGTTTTTAAATATAAAAACAGGCAGGGGCAACACCAGAGAAATACAGTCACTGTTTGGCTTAAGATAAGGCAGAGAATTTAAAAGATGACATTCATTTAAAAATAACTGATTAGCCACTTGCCTTCAATGACTTCAACAAAGTCATAAGAATTTAAAAATAGTAATAATAAAAGACACAAACTCAAGGCAAAGAGTGTGAGAGGGAAGCCATCAGAAAAGTGGTGATGGCTGAATGAATGAGAGAATGGGACACGGAGAGCTCTAGCCCAGAGAAGGGCTAGCCTTCTCCCCACCCTCGCCTCCCATGGAGCCCTAGACTCACAGAGTGCAAGAGATGCAAAACTCAGGAAAGGGCCAGATGTGGCTTGCGGCTCCAAGAGGCTTGTCCCAGGGGGCGGGATCCAGCTCCTACCCCCACCCCCAACCCAGAGCAAGGGGCAGGCTTGCACTGGTACTGTTGTTTTCAGCATCTTTTTTAAAAACTTGGCAAATCACACACCTTATTTCTCTGGAGCCATGTACTGATGTTTGAAATGTACTCTATTTAGAGATTAAGATCAGAGGGTGTGAAAATTTTCAAGGACCTCAGAGATCCCACAGCCTGCCACGTTGCTAGGTGTGGAAGATGAAGGTGACAGAGATTGCTGTGTCTCTCTAGCAGCACATTCCAAGACTTTCTAGACACTCTGCTTCCTTGATGAAGCACTGTGTATGCCGGGAGGGGGCAAGGCACAGACACAGATGAGATTCCGTCTCCCACCCTAGCCAGGCTAAGATACCTTCTGAGCGGTGAATGCAAGTGTGCTGGTTGTCACTCAGAAAGAAACCGTCTTTGCAGCGACACTCATAGCTGCCCATGATGTTGGTGCAGGTGTGCTGGCAGCCGCCATTGTTCTCCAGGCATTCATCCACATCTGGAGGAAGAAAAGGATCAAAATTTGCTCTCATGGCTATTTCAAAAACCCAACCCTGCCAGGCGGCTCAGGGACTCCTGCTAAGAAAGTCCTTCTTGTCCCTCTTGTTCCTGTATTACAGAAACTCTCCAAGCCAGAGCCAAAGGAGCCTGTGGTTAACTCACCCAGCCCCCATGGGTCCATGGGTCTGGGGTACCTAGTTAAGCTCCTGACACAAACACAAAGGCCATGGAACACCTTCACTTTCTGAAGCAGAGTGGTAGATGGGAGAGATAATGCTTACTTCCTGAGAATGCCTTCAGGAGAGAGAAAGACAATGTACAATGGATCCTAAGATAAGAAAAGGGTGGGACAAGAGAAAGAAGGTAGGTAGCACATGATTGATTGCAGGCTATCAACACAGCCTTTGTGGGAAAAGCTGATAAGGAATGGGCCCTTAGGATTCCTGCAGTTATAAACCTGGAGAAAAGAGACTCCAGGCTGAAGGGCGAGAGCCCTCCCCTTGGGCAGAGGCTGGGAAGCTTGGAGTGTATTGGATAGCAGTGAGTCATTCCATTTGGCTAGAGCCTGGAGGGAAGTCACAGGAGATACATTCAGGAAGATAGATTAAGGTCACAAGGCTGCTGGGTCTTAAACAGCAGGCCAAAAAGCTCATTTTTCACTGGAGTGGGGGGCACAGCCAAGCCTCCTCTTTGGGAACTCTAAGACAGCAGTAGGGGTGGACAGAAGAATGGAAAACCTGGGGTCTGGCAAGTGTGTACCCAAGACAGACCAAGCCAGTGCTGTGGAAGGAGATAGAGCAGAGTGGGTGAGCCTCTGAGGCAGGCATAGACAACTCTGGGTAGACCAGATGCCCCAGGAAGAGTGTCACTCCTCTAATGTTCCTTGGAGGACAGGAAGGGGGGCTTCCTGAAAGGCACATGGGGAAGACTGACACTAGTCTCAGGAATGGAAATGAGACACAGTTTTGCTCCCTTCCCCCAAGGTAAAGAGAGCTATGCTAACACTGAGGTGCAAGGCAGGGTCTGGCAGGCATGCGGGAGCAGAGGCATGGTGGCAGAGAACACGTGCAGAAGATGAGAGGGCCAAAGCCAGGAAGGTGGGAAAGGGAGCAGAGCAGCGTAAGCCAGGGGAGAATTGTGGGCAGTTCCAGGGGCAGGGGAGATGCAGAGAAGTCAGGGGGAGTCCCCAGGAAGGTGTTGTCAGGAAGGCAGCAAGTAAGGCTGCCCTGAGCCATTACCATGACTCACCCCTGAGGGAAACCTTCCTTCCACTATGGCCTGAGAAGCTGTCACAGCTTCCCTGAGCCTCTTCCTGGACTGCCTTCCCAATACTCTTCATGGGACCCCACCAGACTGTGTACTCCTGGCAGGTATACATTTAAATTTTATAATAGAGCAATATAAAATAGTAATTAGTAGAGCACTGAACAGGACAGTGTTCATTAACTAGTCAACGGATGAGCGACAAGCAGCGCAGTGCAGATGACCAGAGCCAAGGAGGAAACTTCCAGAAGTACCTCAGATATCACAAAGGCTCAAGAAGAAAGCTGATTTAAAATATATATTCTCTGGCCTACTATCTCATGTGCCTATCACTGACTCCTGGGTGTATCTGGAACCTGGAAATTTAAATGTCTCTTATCTGGTTTCAAGCTTCAGATCTTACAGACATGGGTCCTCCTACACTACCGAGCAGTGTTCTAAACTGATGGGACTTGAGCCATCCCCTGAAGCCTAACAAACTTGCCGGGTCTGTGCCAAAGGGCAAAGGAAGCACATTCCAGAGAGAAGCCTGTGCCGGGACACCTGGCCTAGGAGTTCTGCAGCAAGGGCTCGTGGTGAGTAAGAGAGGGCTGTCTCCCTGGCATGCCTGAAGGCAAGCTCTCCAGAGCTACAATAGCCTCAGTCCATGTGTCCTTTCAAGCAATGTGTCATCAAACAGGGTGACACAATGAGATAGAATAAATACAGTGTGTCTTCACATGACAAATGTGGGTCAGGAGCTAGAGGCTGCCTTCGGACTCTGCCTTGTGGCAGCCCCTAAATGCCTGGCTATATCCTCCAGAGACATCAATGTAATTGAACTGGGGGGGGGGGGGCCCAGGTAGTGGTGCCTGTTAAACCTCTTAGAAGAACCAAGCCAATAGCTGTGAAGTAACGTGTCATAAACAGGAACTGAGTTCAGGAGGGCTGAACTCAGCTGCAGGGAAGAGCTGCATTCGTTTCCTGTATATTTGCTTCCCTGACCATGGCGCTGGGGGGTTCAGAGCTGCCTGTTGTGTCCGAGCTGAACAGTTTGCACTTGGCACACTGGCTGCTGTATTTATAGCTAATGTGTGGTTAGGAGGCTGGCCACAGGGAAAGACTCACCCCCAGAGAACACAGATAGCTGCTACTCTGGAGGAACGTGGGCCCTGAGCTCGTTTTGGCCACAGAGTGTTTGTTGCAGTGTGTAGGTCCAGAGAAGTCCCTCTGCGTGCTGGTTCTGCTCTTTCAAGCTGACAGCATTCCTTCATATCGCTCTCCTTTCTCCTCCTTTTCTTGCTTCTCCTTCTCTACGTCAGGCTCCCATGTAGCCCAGGCTGGCTGCAAGCTCACTAAGTAGCTAAGGATAGCCTGGAACTCCTGCTCTTCCTGCTTCTGCCTCCAGGATGCTGAGATTACAGGTGTGTGCCACTATGCCTGTTTTACCCGGTGCTGGAAAATGAACTCAGGGATTTGGGCAGGCTGACTAAACAACAAGCTGGAGAGATGACTCAGAGGTTGAGAGCACTGGCTGCCCTTCTAGAGGACCTGGGTTCAATTCCCAGCACCCACACGGCAGCTCACAACTGTGTAACTCCAATTCATGGGGATCTGACACCTTCACACAGACATACATGCAGGCAAAATGCTAATGCCCATAAATTTAAAAAATTTCTACCAATTGAACCATATCCCCAACCCTCTACTACCTTCCCTTTAAGGAATCCTTAGCCTTGCATACATGCTCAGTGAATGCTTGATGTCTCTATAAAGCAGATGCTTGGCAGAATCCACGAAGAGACCCCAGGTGGGTGGCAAGGACATTCTGCTGAGCCATCTAATATTGGCTAAGGCAAGACTCTAGGCCTGGAAATGTATGGGCATGCTCGTGTTTAGAAAGCTCCACTTAGCCTTGGCTGACATTGTTAGGCCTTGGATGGTTCAGCCTGTTGCTCTGAGGAAGCCCCCACCCCACAGTAATGGTCAGGTAGGTCAGCCATCAGATATCAACCCTCAAAATGACACTTTGAGTAAACCAAAGGTAAATCTCCCTAAGAGAAAAACTAACAACAACTACTACAAGCCCCTAGCATGTACATTGTCTAAGAAATTGAAGTCTTTTCTGAGTTTTTAATTCATTGTAATTTATTTCTGCTCTCATGGTTGTCTTCAAATGTATCCTTTTGAGATGCTGCTTGCTTAGGAGTTTTTACTCTCCTTGCCACTCATGATGTCTGACAGCTGCAGGCTTGGAAGCCCATGTGACCTGTGCACTCAAAGCCTGGCCTCTCTCATGGGGGCACAGACAGGAAAGGCCCACACTAGGTAACACTAAAAGGTCACATCAGGGCTGAATCTCAAATGGAAACATTTTCTTCTTCTTCTTCTTCTTCTTCCTCCTCCTCCTCCTCCTCCTCCTCCTCCTCCTCCTCCTCCTCCTCCTCCTCCTCCTCCTCCTCCTCCTC